TTTAACGTTGTCTCCGCCGGTAGTGATTATATATTCCCTGCGTAACTTCGTATAGAAGTTTTATTTGTGCTGGAGTTAGCAGTATTTACTAGCATCACGGAATCATGAAATAAACACATCACCGACGGAAAGAAACTGCGATCAGTATAATTATGCCACAGACAAATCCGCGACAAAATGTCACCTGTCATGCCATCCCAATCAGCAGACAGAGGGATAAAAGTCTGCGGGATCCGTAATTGGCAGTTATGCAAGGGATCGGGTACAGCTGCGCAACAAACAACAGCCCAAGCTGCACCAAAGTCACGAAGTCACCTGGATTTGCAACTGAAAATCCATGACTCTTAGCCGTGATCATAATGCAACCATTTTCCTACCTACCCACCGGCATTGCAAGCTTTTTGGGTATGTCTACCGGTGGCATAGGTCCGGTATATCCGACCACCATGGACAATGGCAGTGCAGTTCTGGCCCAGCAACTACCGCAGAAGATTGATATCCACCATCACTTCGTCCCCGATTTCTTTCGTCAGGGTACGTGGGTATACTTGCACAGAATGAAGACCCCGCACTAATCAGTGCGACGCACATCCAGCCGTTGAAGATGCAGGCGGCGACCCAACAGGCTTGCCAGTCCCCGCATGGACCGTCGAGGACTCTCTCCAGGACATGCAGGATAATGGTGTCCGTAAAGCCATCCTTTCGTTAACCACCCCAGGTGCAGTCATTACTGGCAACAACGACACAGCTCGGTCGCTAGCCCGAAGGGTCAATGAATATGCCGCCAACCTGCGCGACCAGTACCCCGAACGGTTCGGATTCTTCGCCGCGCTGCCTTCTCTCCTGGATGTACCTGGTACATTGGCTGAAATCGAGTACTCCCTCGGCACACTCAAAGCCGACGGGGTCACCGTGTTCACCCGATACGGCAATGGAAACAACTATCTAGGCCATTCTCAGTTCACTCCCATCTGGAAGGAACTGAATGATCGCAAAACCGTGGTTCATATCCATCCTACCATGCCTGAGGACACCAATTGGATTGATCCGATCATGCCGCCTCCGATGCTTGACTTCCCTCAGGAGACTACACGGACTGCCGTGGATATGATAGTTAACAACGTCACGCAGCAGTTCCCGAACTGTCCCAAGATTCTCTCGCATGCGGGTGGGACATTGCCGTATCTGATCTCGCGGCTGGCTGTAACTTCCCGAGACACGATGGCCGCACAGGGGCCCTATGGCAAGTCCTACTTCGAGTTTATGGAAGCATTGCGCTCGTTCTACTACGACCTTGCTCTTTCGAGTGCTCCGGCTGTCTTGAATCTTCTGCTGGATCTGATACCGCATGACCGTATTATGTATGGTGAGTATATACGTGGCTGGCATGTAACACCAGATGCTAAAACAGTATTAGGGTCCGATTACCCGAATGCTCCTCCGATCAAAGTAGCTGGATACCGAGAGAACCTAGATGCGTTTCATATGAACGAGGAGCTGCGGGATATGGTCTATTTCGGGAACGCGCAGAAACTTCTGTCTGGAGCTTGATCCTAGACTACATTTATCTTGAACTTCAGCATGACGCACGGTAATGGATATAATGATGGTTAGGAAATTTGCATAAGCGGAGGAATGTGGAAACAATGTGCATTATGCAAAAACTAAATCATATACCTGTCTTCAGAGTATAGTGACGTGCCACAATGTTATAACGGGAGGTAGATAAATACACAGCCCAGTTGCTTCTAATCAAGAGACGGAGGTCGATAGTTCCCATACACTCCCTTGAAAGCTTTAGGGTGCACGAACATCAACTGAACCCCTCTCCCCTACCGATAATAGAAATTAATACCGAAACTCCTCCCCAACAAGCTCCTCACTCAACCTCCACAAAGCCTCCGCCCTCCCCGGATCCCTCGTATGCTCCGCAGCCTCACTAACCACACTATTCTGCATAAACACCGGCGCCAGAGCCTGCAACCCCGGATCCAGCGCCGCAATCAACGGCGTCGCCGCGATCTGAGTATACGTCTTGAACCGCGGCTCCTCGAAAACGAACTCTTTGCCGGTATTTCGTTTGGCGACTGCAGAGATGCCAGCATAATCGTCCCAAGTGAGGTGACTGCCCAGCTTAGTGTCTCCGTTATAGCCTGGATGGACGGCGATGGCGGCAATTCCCTTATGTCGTAGCCGGTGGGTCAAGCCATATGTGAATAGGATATTGGCTGTCTTTGCTTGCCCGTACCCCGTCCAGGGGTCGTATTCTTTCCCGTCGGAATAGTTCCAGTCTTCGAAGCGGAACGGTGAGATAAGGTGCCCGGAGCTGGTTAGATTGACTACACGGGCGAAGCCAGCAGCCTCGAGGGCTGGCACGAGCAAGTTGGTAAGTAAGAAATGACCGACGTGGTTGGCCGAGAGCTGAAGCTCTATTCCCTGCTTGTCGAGCGTGTATTCCTTGATTGCCATCACCCCAGCGCTATTGATCAGGACATCAATCTTGGGTGTTGCGGCGAGGATCTCGTCTGCGGCGCGGCGGACGGAGTCATGGTCTGTAAGGTCCACCTGTACTGCTGTGGTTTTGATGGTGCTGTCGATGGCGTGTATTTCATCGAGCACGGGATGGACTTTGCTGAGGGTGCGTGAGGCAATGAGGATATGTGCTGGCGCGGCTTTGGCTAGAGATGTGGCTATCTGGCTGCCGATGCTGGGCTTGCCGGCACCGGTTATGACGAAGGTCTTGCCCTTGATGTTGGACTTGAAGGCATCGATGACCTGTTCGCTGGTGGCTGTTGCGTCGAAGATGGGCATGGCGGGTGCTTGAAGATGTGGTGAATTGGCCTGATTGGAAGCTGAATGTGAAGAGAGATGCGATGAATATCTGTCTGGGTTTATGGGGGATTTTACAGGGCTTTATATTCCTGGGAGTGCTTGATCGTAAACGAGGGAGCTCCGTCTTCGCCAAACTCACCTGGGTCATGGCTACAATGTGGGCCATTCAATCACTGCCATCCTGCTGCTGCTTAGAAATAAGAAAATCCATCGAAAACATCACCAGGAGATAGACCGGCATTATCCGTAAGCTCCGAGTCTCCATCCCTCAAATCCACTCTGCTTACACCGTAGACGACTTAGTAGGTAGTTATTATAACTGGCACAATTTGTAATCATACAGAGGATGGTTATGGTCCCATCAGCTCTGATTGCCTATGTTTCTGCTCATAATGCAAGATAACCAGCAGGTCTTCAACAGCAAAGGGGCTGTGGTTTAGTGGTATAATATTCCCTTAGCATGGGAGAGGTCCGGGGTTCGATTCCCCGCAGCTCCAGCTGTTTCTTTTTTGTCTTTTTCTTTTTTTGCCCCTTCCTGCTTCTGCCTCCCGTGTTATGTGCCCTTCCTATTCATGTGCACCATGACATTTTGTTTTCTCAACGGCCCGCGTATTAATGTTGTGTGTTGGATCATAGTAGGCGAGCTCATGCATTCTCTTCATCTCGCTCCCTAAGTTTAGTCCATCATCAAAGTAGGCTGTCTCGCTTCAGAAACTGCATTGGTACACCGACTACACTGAACCCCTAAAGTAATCGGCTACAATCCCTCACTTCGACTGCGATGAGAAGAACCCATTGTAACATCCTGTTATGACCTCTAAGCATGTTAACCTTCAATAGGGCTGATGGAGCCTTCCTGAAGATCTCTAAATCCTCGCAGAAACATAAGGCCCGAGTCCTGTCTTGTATCGTCCTTAGATTTCAAACTACTAGTCGGAGATAATTCTGTTAGCACAGCAAGAAATAGTACCACCGAGCTAAAAATAGAATTTTTGCACATCTACCTAAGTTGTGGCGAGCTCCAGACGACAAAAAGCATAAGGAGGATAGCTCAAAGCCAACGTTATCTAGTAAGGCTGAAGCGACCTCGACATTCCATGCATATACCACTCGGCATAGAATATAAGCCGTTTACTCTCCCGATCGAGTGGCATTGTCTGTTCCGCCCACCGAAATAGCCTTTGCCAGTGATTCCACCTCGCGATGCCATACCGAGGACCATTGTAGTAATAACCAGTTGCCCACAATGGGTTGTCGTTTATTTCGTCAAGCTTAGGTGCTCGAACGACCTCCTCATACAGCCAACCCCCAGCAAACTCGATAATAACTGCAGCACCCATGATGGATACGACGTGGAACTGTTCTGGCAGTGTTTCTTCGAAGGCAGCCTTCATCTCGTTGACTAACCAAGCCTGACCTTGCAAAGCTCCCACTCTGCAAAGGCGCGCTATAAAGGCCCGAACGTTAACAAAGTAATTTCGGTTTCCATTCCTGTCCATTCCTGAGAAGTTGTCAGTCTTCGAAAATTACTGATTTTAGAAGCTAGCATGACGGAGGCTTTGTTGCACAGGTGCTGTACACAAACACGGCCTCTATGAAAAGAGAGGAAGGGGACCCAGACGTACGTTGCGCCGAATATTGCCCTAAATTTCTCATCAATTGTGGCATAATTTCATAGCGACCGTATCCCTGGTACTAGAGTGTCAGTTTCGCTGCTTGGCTCAGGCTATTTTCTAGGTGAATATCACTCACACCGACACCTTCAGGTTGTGGTATGTATTTTTTCACGCGGTCCGAGTCTTGCAGTCTTTGAATCACCTGCACATAACGGTCTTGAGCAACATTATCGTACTCCACCTGCTGAGATAACTCATGTATAAGGTCTCCGAACAAGTCAGCTCCGCCGGGGTAAGTGGGGTCATCTGGTGGTGGGAGCAGGTTATGAAGTGCTTGGGCAGTTTGCTCTCTAACAGTATATTCTGGCGCTAGGCACTCCTGTATGATTCGAAAAGCTTCCAACCGCGAATAGTTGCCTCTTATCGCCCTGTTATACCCATTTTCTCCACCTTCCAAGGTCAAGACAGCCATGGTGACCTAGGAAATAGAAACCGAAAAAAAAAAAAAGAATGGATTTGGGGTGGTATTAAAGCAGATAGTACAATAAAGTGAATGTGAGCAGATATTGGTTCTTTGAAAAGACCGAACAATTGGATTGATGATAGTAGAGATTGTAAGATGTTAAGTTGACCAAGAAACAAGTCTATTCGGCGGCCCAGAAGTAATAATTTCAGCCAGGACGGACAGTAGGAAGGCGCGAGGAAATCGAAATCGGCAAGCATAGACAGCCGTTGTACGTCCCTTTCGCTATGGCTTGAAGTGCTTACTTGATCCTAAAAAACACCGTACAACTCAATTTCACCAGCGAGATGATTGTTACTTCGTTTATAGCCCCGCAACACTGAGCTCCAAGTCAACAACAACCTTAGAACGACCACTGCTTCAACCAATTCCTCATATCATCTCCCGTAACAGGCCCCAGTGCAGCCATTGTTTCGCTTGCCTCCTTTGCCCTGTCCACTTCAAGCGGCACCAAGAGCGTGGCACCTTCCGCAAACTCACGGTAGAATTCGAGTAGCTTGAGGGCAGGCTTCTCCGCGATCTCCTGCTCGGATGGGCTTTTCATGCTCAATTTTTCGAGGTGTTTTACCCACGTTGTGAAACCCACCGGTTCCATGTCCGGGTACATGTCCTGGACGGTAGGGACGAGTGCTTCCCAGGTTGTTTTTGATGGGTTGACAAGGTGAAATACTGCGTGTGGCGAAGCAGAAGACACTGTAACGGCGCGAGTGTGGATGACTTCGGTTATTATGCGGGCGAGGGTGTCCTACATTCCAGGATAGTGCATTAGTAGCTAGACATAGTTATGCTCTAGACGGAGGATGGAAGGGGTTATTACCACGGCAATCCAATCAACAGACCTCGAACCTAGCGTGCCCGGAACTAGTCCTATTGCCTTTGATGTCTTGATAATAGTAGGCAGCCAGTCTTTGGGATTCCATAGACCTTCTATTGTGGTTGGACCTGCTATCTGCCCCACGCGATATACGGTAGTCGGGACGCCCGACCTGCGGCTTGCCTCATGACATATCCGTTCGGAGATGTACTTGGACTCCCCGTATCCTTGACTCGGACATGCCTTGCTGTCTTCAAGTGGGCTTTCAGGGATGGTTGATCCCATGTCCCAAGTCCAGGCGCCTACAGTGCCCACTGATGAGATAAAGTGGACGTGCGCATGATGAGTACTTCGGAGACTAAAGTCAATGAAGTGCCGTACGCTGCGAATGTGCGGGTCTTCGAATGAGTCGACGCTGTGGTTGAAGTCGACTTTCCAGGCGTTGTGGATTATTGTTGTTACCGTGGTAAGGAGGGCGTTGTACTTGGGCAAGGGGAGACCGAAATGTGGATCACTAAAAGAGACGGTGAGATATTCCACCTTCTCAAGGGCGTTTGGAATGATATGAAGGCCTTTTTGTTGGAAGATCGTCTCTTGTTTGGATTGAGCGTCGCTTCGGTTGAAGCAGTATACTTTGGCGATGCTCGGGTCTTCGAGGAGGGTGTGCAGGAGATAGGTTCCCAAAGAACCGGTCGAGCCTGTTAGGATGATTGGAGATTTTGTAGGGGCTTTTGTAGTCTGATCTGTCATGGAGGCTTGAATGGGTAAGCTGGATGTGTACTTTTCAGTGAGACTGTTGAGCTTCTCTGGGCGGGAGACATCTGTCGCATTGTCACCGTTCAGCACCCGCAGAAGCAGCTGGGCCAACTTCTCCACGGTCGGATTTGCGTAAACCATTTGGGTCGTCAACTCTACCGCACTTGGGCCACCGCAGTGGGCAAATAAAGCGCTGCGTAGATACTTAGCGACCTGGATGGTTTGCAAAGAGTCGAGACCAAGTTTGTAGAGGTCTTCCTGGGGACCAAAGCCAGATCGTTGGAGGGTCTTAGTAACCAAGTCATGAATGTATTCACTAAGATTAGACAGGTCTGGGTTTGCTGGAAGCTCGTCCACTGCAAGGGTTCCCTCGTCACTCATGGTATAAATGGCATCAATCTCATTGGCGTAGTCTTTGACTACAGCAGCCCTTCGCGTCGAACCCTTTGGTGTGGTCTGGAATGGCTTATCCCTCTTAGAAAGAGCGATCTTGTCTTTCATGATACGTCCGTGGGCGGCTATAGTTTTGTTTGCCTCCTCGATCGCAGGCCAGACATCATCAATGAAAGAATTGGGGTCAAGGTATGAGTCAAATGCATCCCAGTATGGCTCGACCAGCAGAGCAGTGTGGAATTGTCCCTTTCCGACCACCAATGCCCGGGATATAAGAGGATGCGCCTCGATCATGGTTTCCAGTATGACAGGATTGAACTTGAACCCATTACTCAGAACGATGACGTCGTCTAGGCGACCATGATGCTTCCATAGTCGGGGATTAGACGGATGTCGTGTGAATAGATCCTTAGTATGGTACTCAGTGAACGAAGGGAAAGTATGACAGATGCCGTGATAATCGCGTGTGGTCGGGCGAGGAATGACCAGCTCATAGATATCATCTCCGACAGGCTCCATAACAGCGCCGTAATTAGGATTCCACTCGAGATAACCATAATCTTCGTCCTTTTCGGGAACTATGGAAGGGATGAGATTGGTTTCGGTAGATCCCAGTGCTGTGATCAGTTTCGTGTATTTGCGGACCTTGTCACCTGTTTCTGATGAGAGTGGTGCTCCACCAAAGTAAACACTCTCCATTGTGCCCAACGTGAGCAGGGCTTCTTCGGACAAGGAAACATCGTCAAGGATTGACGGGGGAAGAAGCGCTGTAGTTGGTCGACCAAATTTAATAAGGTCCGTTAAGAAGTCAACCGAAAGTGGCTTCTCTGGCCCATAGAGGAAAGGTACGGAGTGGAAGATAGACGTGGTGAAAGCGACGATCCCCATCATATGAAAGAACGGAACTACGCTGAGAACAAGGTTATCCGGGCTGAGATCACAGAAGATAGTAAGTCTCCGGTCGCCCGGACGAGGGAGATGGACAATGGCATCCAAGGCACTGAAATAGCCGTGGGTCAGGGCAATAGGCTTGGGCATTCCTGAGAAGTGAATTTGCATGAGCTAAATTCGCCATTTTGAGAAGGGAGACCATACCTGTTGATCCAGAACTGTGCACAATGAGGAAAACCTCATCCTCAGCCTCCTCGTAAGATTGAGTAAAGGGGTAGAAGCGTGAACCCTCTTGCCCCTTCAAGATGGCATCTAATCTGGGTAATTCGATGATATTTAGTTCGGGACAGAGTTGTTTAAGCTCTGCTACCTTCCGCTCCCTCTCCGCAGTGTAAAAGAACCGGTTACACTTAGTCTCATGTAGCAAGTACAGTTGAGCTTCATCGGAGTTCTTACTCGAGAGTAGCAATGGCTGATTGAGAAAGGTCAGTATACAAGCGGAACGTCCACGAAGTCGGGAGTATCCCACCTTGTAGCCAGTCTTATGACATGCCACGATGAAAATAAAGTAGCGAATATCATTGGCACCCATGTATGCCACCGTTGACCCAACAGGTGCATCTATACCAGTTTGCGCTTCTATCCACCAGCATAAGAAGTTGATGCCACGAGAGAGAGCCTTAATCGAAATTTCTTGTAAACCATCTGAGAGCTCCGAGCCTCTGGGCATTACACAGAATCGTCTCTCGGGATTACTCTCGGCGATGGCATCTATTTCGGTGGTCAAAAGCCGTTTGCGAGGAACTGGTATATTGGGAGCCATGGTCACTGAATCACTGCTTCTGGTGGTTTACCTTAATACTTCACAACATGAGCAGCAGCTTGATATAAAATCAAGTCAGGCTATTACCGATACCTGATGGATGATCTTATAGCTATTGACGAGCCTCACCCCGCTTGGCTCGATGCCGAGGGATACCGCAACAATGTATTTCCACATTTCTGCAGTCCGTCTATTGGCCATCATGCTTCGTATACCCAACTCCATCGTCCGGCAAATTGATGTCTGACGAGGAATGGATCTTTTGGCCCCCGAATCCTTCATTTGCTTTGGGTTTTAACGTAATCTGCGGGCTCTCCCGCTCGGTCGCTCCCACCAGATTCTGCACTGTCTTCACCCTCCTTATTGGAGTTTTCATTGGGTGTCATTACAAGAGAAATACTCTAGCGACATCAGACTGCAGCCACAGTGTCCATTAGCGAATCGGGACACGATTATCCTCATATTCCTTACTGTCGCAATAGACAGTGGCATTGCAAAGCCCGGTCTATCCATTCAAGCCAGAAGCCAGCTATGCTAAACGGATTATTATTGTCATTATAAATCATCAATCTATCACTTCTTAACTGTATGGTCCTCCGGTTCTGGAATATGCACCAGCCCCTTTCTTTCTTTGGTCCGCCACTGGATGGCCTTGAGAAGGCCATATAACACTGTTAATGTCGGCATGGGGACCCCCCTGGCTTTTCCTTCCTTCAGTGCCTCTCCCAAGATGTTCTCATACTCACAGAACCGGCCACTGCGGATATCCACCTGCATGCTGGGGGGATTGTACATGGTAATGGGGTCCATCGTGATCATAAAGTCCACCAGCTCAGGTGGTAAGTCATGCCCACATGCCTTCGCACCTGCGCGGATCTCCTCCATGGCCGGTCGGACCAAATTCTCAATGGCACCGTCTGCCAGCTGGATACGACCGGTGTCTAAATCTGTGATGGCACAGATAGGGTTCAAGCAGGCATTGTACAACAGCTTCCGCCAGCGACTGAACCCGACGTTGGGGTTAAACTGAGGATTACACTTGCCACCGGCCCCATAAATTTCACAATATTCTTTAGCGGCCGCATCCTCTTCGTCGGGGTTTAAGTTGGGGTTGCGGAAAGCTCCCACGTAAAGCTCGTCATCATCTTCGTGGACGATCTCTCCCATGGAGACCTGATGGGAACCACAGAAGCTGACGCCCGAGAGGATGATGTTTTCTGGGAAAGCGGCAATAAGGGGCTTTTCTATGTTCAGGCCATTCTGGACGAGAGCGATGCGCGTGTAGCCCCTGGTGACGGAGGGGCGGATGATTTCTGCTACGGTCGGGGGCACATCGGCGTAGTTCTTGGTGGTGACGACGATGTACCGGTATGGGGGGAGATTCTCTTTCTCAACGTCAGGGACTGTGTTTCGTACTGTCGAGGCAACTATTAGTGGGAAACTGCTGATATGGAAATGAGTGGCTGCCTACAGATTGACGGTCGGAAGCCTTTCACCTCTCCGTGGTCGATGGATTTGATGGAGAAGCCGTGAGCTTTGACATGCTCATAATTGGAACGCAGGACAGCAGTGACAATGGCTTTGCCTCCAAGTTCCAAGTTCAGCGCAGCGATAGTGCCGATGCCACCACAGCCGATTAACAGGATGTTGGCTTTGTCTTGCATGGTGAGTGAGAAGGGGCGGAGATGTGGACGAGGGACGAGGGCCAACCTGTTGTTATCGGGATCGTAATTGGGGTTGTTATAAATGGTGAGAGGTAGATAATATTGACTACGAAATTAACCTGCCTGGTTGGACAGATGATGCTATCACGCCTTATCGAGACTATCAGCAAGTGGCTGATCCTCGCGATAAATGCGATAATCTTAGCTTCAACTCCATCAACCCCGCTTGCCCGCAACACCAAAAAGGCAAGCCATTCCGGCCTCACCTTCCCCGTTATCCTCCAGGCAACTCTCCTCGCTCGACATCTCCCCCCTCACTTATTCACTACATACCCTATCGATTGATTCTCATATCAAGTGCTTATCGATCTCTATGACATCAGGGGCCGCCGTCACCACCACCACCGAGGCCCCTGCTCTCTCTGGCAAGCCAACAGAAACCCCAGTGCGCTCCCGTTCCTTGGGAGGATGCGAAACCTGTCGTCGGCGCCATGCAAAGTGTGATGAGACCAGGCCATCTTGCCTCGTGTGTGAGCGTGCGGGGCTGGTCTGTGAGAGGTACGAGATTCGACTGTTGTTCGATGCGAGCGACAACCAGAGCTCACGATGTCGCCGTCCCCTCTTCACTGAGGACATGCGTCAGCGTATGAGTGAGCAGTTGGCCGACAGCTTGAACTTAGATGACGTTCACACCATTCTGACCAAGATTGATGGTCAATGCGAGAGCCAGGAGGAAGAGACTAATACCAATTTCACTACCCGCATGGGTCCCTTTGGTGCCTTTCGGGTAGTTCAGGTTGAGATGGACCTTCCCGAAGCCCCCATGGACCCAATTGACGAGCCCCTCCCCCGGGTGGAAGACAGTACGGTCAATGTTGGGCTGGACATGTCCTTAGACGATGCCTTTAGCAATGATCCCCTCATGGAGTGTCTGTTTGGCCATGTGAATGTAGACGTTTCTGCCGACTTGGATGCTCAAGACTTCTTCGCCGCAACCCTACCTTCTGCGGAAAATGATGGGATTTCCCCGCAATCCCTGTCAGGAGGCTTCCTTATGGGACCATCGCCATTGGTTCCTCTGCAAGCATCGTTATTGTCGTCGCCGGAGATCCGATATGCTCCATCTGTGACCAACCTGGCCCCGCCAGATGCCCCCCTATTGCTGTCTGCATACACAAAGAATGTAACTCAACTGTTCACCCCAATCCAGCTGGAAAAGAGCCCCTGGAGTATGCTCTACATACCTCCCGCTATGGAGACTCTGGCGTTGTTGACCATGGGCGAATTGGCCAACAACACCCGGATGTCCATCTTTTACGCAATTCTCGCCACTGCGGCCTTCACCCAGCGTCTATCTTCCTTGACGCGCAGCGCAAGCGAATATTGGCAGAGACAGGCAGAGACCTTTGCTACAGAAGCTCAGAATTACCTCAAGAGAGCATTACACGATGCGTCATCAAGCGTCAAAAAAGTCAAGTACAAAGATGTCCTCATCGCCTTGTTGTGCATGGGCACGGTTTCGGTAAGCAACGCCAGCCGCAGCTGAGCAAAGTACATGTCTCACCATACACATAGGCCTACCAAGGGAGCACAGAGCGGGTACGCCGATGTCTGCTAGACTGCGAAAACTGGGTTCGTTTTCGTGGCTTGCCTAAAACGCGGAAATCACGCAAGGTCCGCTTGTTGCACCATTGCTATGTCTATCTACGCATCTTCCAGGAGAGCACTTCCGTTCTCCCTGTGTCCAACGTAGAGATAGAGTCCGACTATGCATCCCCGGATACAGTGCGCTCAATCGCTTCCACTCGCTCGTTCCGCCTTCGGCAATGGGAAGGTCGATTGGACCAGCGGATGAGCGAGTTGAAGGAGCAGCACCAGGGAGAAAATGATTTGCACTTGGAAATCCCGGGCCAGTGGGACTCGACCATGTACCCACATGTTTTTGGCCTTCCCGAGTCTCTACTATTTCTAATATCACAAGTAACGCGACTAGGCAATGAGCGAGACCTCTCGGATTTGGGAAGCTATACGGGGGCGTTGGACTTTAAGCAGTTCTCCGCGCGGGCGCGGAGCCTAGAACGATGCATTTCCACTTGGCGACCACCGTCAGTGTCAGATGCGGATCCAGACAGTATCATCGCTCAGACAAATGCCACAATTGTTCGCCTGATGATTTCTGCAATTCACAAAGCCCTCATTATCTTCTTTTATCGGCGGATCTACGATGTGGATCCGATGATCCTCCAAGATAAAGCGTGGCAAGTGCGAGACGCCCTAGCTCAGGTAGCAAGAGACGATATGCCGGCAACTCGCGTGACTGCTCCTTTTCTTTGGGTAGCGTTTATTGCCGCCTGCGAGGCTTTGGATCCTACACTACAAGACTGGTTTGCGGGCTGGTTCGAGACATCGGCCAGAAAAAGTGGGCTTGGAACTTTTAAGCTGGCGTTAAGGATAGCAAGGCAGGTCTGGGAGAGACAACGACAGCACCTGAACAGTAACGCCAGCGCCAGTTGGCCGCAGATTATGCGGGAAAGCAACTTGAGTTTGTTCTACATATAACGACATATTCATGAGACTTCTTCTTCTCATAATCATCTTACTTCATACATCGTACAATCATATTCAACCACATGCACCCATACTCACTGTAGAAACTGATCGTTGCACAGCGCCCGCTCCATCTCATAATCCGGCTGGAACTCATGATACAACGCTTCCTGCTTTCATTAGCTATACCTTCTAACATCAAGGACTTGGTGTAACTCACCGGATCACTAGTCATCTTGAACGTAAACTCAGCCGCTTCCGGCTCAATAAGCTTCTTCTCTAACCCTTGAGCAGCAGCCGCGTCTACCTGCAGCTGAATCTCGCAGCTCCTCTCAGCCAGAGTGAACAGATAAGCCGCTTCATCAACAGTCTGTCCGACCGTAAGAAGGCCATGGTTGCGCAGTATCAGCAGCTTTCCCTTGTCACCCAAGTGTCTACCCAGACGTAGACTCTCCTCTTTCTCTAGCACGACGCCCCCAAACTCAGGATAGACAGCCTGTGCATCGCCATAAAACATAGTAACGTCTTGGTTGATCATATCCAAAGGCTTGGCGAAAGTCGACCACGCTTTACCATACTTTGAGTGGGCATGGCACGCCGCGTTCACATGCGGATACATCTTGTGCAGGACGCCGTGGATCTGGAAGCCCGCGGCATTGGCCGGCCGCGATCGATTGCCTCCGACTGGTTCGCCGGCGTCGTTTAGTAGGATGAGATCGGAAACCTTGACTAAACCAAAATGGAGCCCGAGTCTGGGATCGTTAGCTGATGTACCTGGACCGGTCTTGT